GGCCTCCTGATTTTGCCTGGGGAATCATGGGAGGCATTTAGAACCCCAGCTCCAAGATCCCAGAGTTGAGGCTCTGAAGACCAAACTTCCGCCCAGCACAAACGTCCCTGGCATGAGAGGTGGAGAAGGAAGGAGGCCGGCGCTCAGGCAGATTCCTACTGGCACATCAGCTTCCTTCTTCCCACCTCCTCAGCCCTAAATCTAACTGTACATTTGGCATTTTGAAACCATGTAAATAACGGATGGGGTACTTTCTATTTTTGTAATGTTGCAATTTTTGGGCAATTTTGTACCTTTGTAGTATGTTTTTATTTAAATAAAAAATTTCAACCTAAAAAAAAAAAAATTTCAACCTAAATCTAACTGGCTAAAATGGTCTTCAAGATGAAATGCATGACTTGAGTGGAGTTTGCTCTGCGCATTGGATTCCAGTAAGCTCCTGAGTCTGGAGTCAGAGGGCACTGGCTGATGCCCATCAATTGCCTCACACACTCAAAACACAAGCCCAGTCTCTTAGCTGCCGTGCAGCACCTTGAAGCCGTCCTCTGAGCTCCCTCCATGATGCCTTAAACATGCGCCAGCTCACTGCAAAGCAACCCTGGCATGAAACGTGAATCACATCTCCTGTTTTCACCTGCTCTGAGAGACGGGTCAAAAGTCTCTGGGTCCCCAAACCCTCAAATCCGGCTGGCAGAATTTCTAGATGATGTGGACGCAAGAGCAGAATAGGTTGCCTAGGCAAACACATGTTCCATAGAGTGGCTTATTCACATTGTGGATGCCTGAGGAATTTGAGCCTTACATTACGGATAAAAAATTGCACCGTGATGCAGAGGCACTGTAATCGCAAGCCCAGCTTTATCAAGGCTTCCGATCGCTGAAATTCTGTAAGAGGATTCACGAGAATATGCTTATGCGGCCCTCGTCAGACCTTCGTGTGCAAAGGTCCAGCTGACTGCTGGGAACACAGGGATATGAGAGAAACACCTGTGTGCACACCCATATCCTCCTTCACACTGTCGTTCTACGGGCTATCAGACGAGTACCTGTATAGGCTTAATTTGGGCCACGCTTTTCAGGCGAACACGTGGAATAGAATGCACCCTTTTTAACGTGATCTCCAATCTCAGGTTGAAATCAGTGCACTGTAGGGACACAAGGATGGTGGTCAGATTGCAGGGAAAGAGCCATATGAGGCAAGACTAGGGAACTGGATCTTTTCAGCCGGGAGAAGAGGAGACTCCAAGGGGGTCTGTTGGCGACATACAGGTACATGAGGGGGTGTCGCATGGAGGTGGGTAGAGACCTGTTCTCCCCTGCAGAGGAGGACAGGACGTGCTCCAACGGAGCCAAGCTCAGGGAACCCAGGTTCAGTTTGGATGCCAGGAAGCACTTCCTGACAGTCAGGACCCTGAGGGTGTGGGATGGGCTTCCATGGGAGGTCGTTGAGGCCCATCGGTGCAGGTGTCCAAGGACAAGCTGGACGTGCACATGGTGGGCATGTCATGAGTGGAGCTGGCTGGAGCCGGGGGTCAGACTAGATGGACTGGGGGGACCCTTCTGACTCGCCCTGTTTCTGTGGGGCAGTATAGAAGTGAAACAACAATTTTCCTACAAAATAGAGGCAGTGAGGAGATATTCATCCCATAGCAGAAAACAGCACAACAGATGATTGCGAGGGAGTGTTCTCCATGGCATGCTAACTTTGCCCATGCACAGAGTCCCCTTTGCACATTCTTCTCTGCCTGGACCTGAAATGGACAATGCTGGAAGGGATGAATCAACACATCCAGTTGGAGTCTGCTGTGATAATGCATCTAACTATTGTTTGGTGAGAAAATGCACTTTTAAGTTTGTGTCCCAAGAGGGTTTCTTTTAAGAATAATATGAATTGTAAAGGAAAGCAGAAATGGAACAGCATCATGGCAGAAAAATATGCAGCAGTGAGGCAAGGATGAAACTCAATTCAGCATGAGCCAAACTGGCAAAACTTTTCAGCACCAACAGAAAGAAAATGGAAAGTGGGAAGACTTTACCGAGTGCGGCTGGTGTCCTTCCCCCTCCTCCACCCTCGCAACATTTCTCTCCGTTTTCTCATAGCACATACCTGAGCTTTAATTCCCTTACAAACAAACTCATCTTTTACAGCATGAATAATTCCCTTCTCTTATACAAATAGACAGAGCAATATTGGCCCAGGCTGGCCTTGACTGTGGCCCAGGGATGCCCAATTTCTCTGCCCAAGGGCTGAATTCAATTTTGAAGAGGCTCTTGCAGGCAACTCCCCACTGGTGGGTCTGAAAAGCCAGTGCAAAACCCTTCAAGTTAGGAGAGCCACTGCAGCCTTTGAGAAAGGGGGGATATCACAATATCCAGAAATCCACCCAGTGATTGGTGTTGAGTGGAAAAGGGCTGGAACTGGGGCAAGGCTGCAACCAGTGGAGGTGGAAGACTAGAAGCTGAACCACCTGCCCTGGGCCTGAAGCTTAACACACCTGCCCTAGTCCAACTTTTTATCCTACATGCTTGACCCTCTGGACCCTGCACAGCCAGATGTTGTTATGAACGCCCACCCTGATTTTGGCTCTCCTGGCACAGCAGGGTGGGTGGGGAGACAACTGATCGTAACACAAAATGAGCTCCACATGGACACGACTGTGCTACTTCACTGCCGCAAGAACGACAACAAAACCCCCAACAACAGAGCCAACACAGCTCAGGAAATCACACCAAAAAGCTGTTCCAGTGGGAGTCATGTTTGCTGCGGAAGCTGAGGAAAACCCTGAAGATTCAAGTGGGGTCCATATGGCACGCTGCTGTGCTTCCAACAGCGCCGTTCTTATTCTATTCCGGTGCCTTCAGAAAGATCATGCGCAAGGGAAGAAATTTGAAGGCAGGGAGTATCTTAATCACAAGCCACACTGCTTGTCTATCATGTCTGATGTTCAGAGAGACAATGGTTCTGTTGTATAATTGGTTCCATTTGGGTATGATGCCTACTATTCTTTTTCACTCCTCCTTGATCAGTGGCTATATTCAATGCCTTATAACCAAATCTTTTCCATTCGTTTCAATGGTTCTGTTCTAGCAGGACTAATATGGGATACAACATCTAGTCTTTAAAGCAGGGTGTTGGCCTGAGGGCCAAACGCAATTCCAGAGAAGCTCTTAGGAAACACATTCTGGTGGTCGGTAGATCCCAAGGGAAACGGGGCAGGCTGAAAATGTCAAAAAGACCAGCATATTTCAGTTATGGCGCTAAGACATAGGAAAGGCATTTCAACCTTTAAGACTGTGTGTGTGTGGCAGGAGGACAAGTCAGCAAAAGCTGGGAAATCATGAAACAGTTAGTATTTGGGGGGAATGGGGCAGGGGCAGGCAAAGGTCTATTCCTATTTGGGGACCATGGATGCCAGGAGAGGCAAGTTCGGCCAGTGGGCTTCAGGTTCCCCAGTGATGTTTTTATAACAATCTAACCTAGTAATCATGCTGGCCTGAGAAATAGTTTGTTGATCCTAAATATTCTACAGCACAGGTAGATCATGCTGGGGAATTTCACAGGGGGTCGAAAATCTCATGGATATTCTCAGCTTGGCCACATTGATTTTATTGTGTCAACCCTGCACTGGTGCACACTTGTTCCACTTCCCGTTTACACTGCACTGAACAGAGCTCACGTGGACGACTATGTCCAGTTCTGGGTAACAGTACGATGAGACTGAGAGAGCTCGGCACATTTAGCCTCTAGAAGAGAAGATAACAAGGGGATCTGAAGCACTCTGCAAGTCCCTTGAAGGCTGTCAGAAAGAGAAAGGAAAAGCTCTCTTCTTGCTGATACCAGAGTGTAAGACACGGAAGAATCCATTCAAGCTGTGACAACCCAGATTCAGGCTGGACATCAGGAAAAGCTTCCTCCCTTTCAGAGCAATATGGCAGTGGAACCAGCTGCCTGCAGAGGTGGTGGGCTCTCCCACACTAGAGGCATTCAAGGTGAAACTGGACAGCCATCTGAGCGGGATGGTGTGACTTGGTGTCCTGCAACAGCAGGGGGTGGACCTGATGGCCTTCATGGCCGCTTCTGACCCTACTATTCTATGAATTGATGAGTTCAACCAGCATGCAGACAGACCACAATTTGTGTAAGTTTGTTCAAGCTGAAGACATTTGGTCCTCCCATCCAGAATTTGCACAGATTTGTGCAACTTGTGAAACAGAGGACTGAATTTTGCAAAACTGTGAAGTTAACCACCTGCCCAGTGTGTCCTATGTGGGAGTATTGGGTGAAGTCTATAAAATAAATGTATAAATAAATAACTTTTGGAAAATTCAAGATGGCCAAGGTAGAGTCTATACTTATGCAGTGAGAGAGGAATGCTTCCATGTCTCTTATGTTAACTGCTAGGACAAGAGCAACAACAAAAAGAATGACAACTCAATGCTAATCAGTTGAGTTGGAGATGCACACCATTTCTCCAATTCGCCAAATTTACACGGGTTGCACCAGTGGCACAAGATATATCTAATTCTTGGTTCCAAATTTGTGCAGAGATTTTGAAAAAGGTGTGGAAGCTTAAACCCCACAGCAGAATTTTTAGCAGAAATGTGTTGAAAATCTGTGTGCTCAAATGGAATGTGTTCTCCAGTGTTGTCCATCCTGAGATAGTCTGGTCCAACCTAACATTCCATTAGCAGTGGCAGTCTGATAAATAACTTCAGGAAGCTTACCAGAAGAGCATTAGGGGGTCTTTTGCCCCAGAATCTAGTATGGAGGGATATCCTGTTATTCTCCATAAAGGCTATATTTACCTCTCCCATTTTTCTGAACAATATAAGGAATGAATAGACCCCAATGCAGCCATTACCCTATCTGCACACCCACATATTCAAAGACATTTGGATATGCAATTATCACAGTCATGCTAAACACTGTTCCCCAGGTAACATGAGCAGTAGCATCATTAGGTGCATAGAAATTAAAATTCACCAGTGTGAATACTTACCTGTTGGAACTATCTAGGAGTAATCCATCAAATGGTCCTTGAAGTACGCAGTCTTAACCTGGAAGTGTGCTAAATGCAGTTTACCTGTTAAAAAATAAATAAATGCAGTCAAGGGGTCAGTCTTCGAAATTGTGAAAAGTAGAATAATGATGGTGATATGGAAGAATGGCAGCAAAAGCAACCATGGAAAACTTCTTCATCGGAAGCTATGAATTCAAATAGCTTCTGATCAAGGAAAATTCCATAATGGCAATTCGCTTTTGCGTAGAGATGGATGAGAATTTTGCTTTCATTTGTAAGTCATTTGAAAATGCCCAATTTGCAATTCCAAATGCAAACATGAACAGGAGCACTTTTTTCTCCAAAGATGTCTGCAAATTCCTGAATTTGCCTTCATTGTCTTCAATGTACCCTTTGAAAATGCACAACTTTCTCAAAAAGTATTACTTCTGCACAATTTGGGGTACTGTTTGTGCAACGGTTGTGCAAACAGCTCTGTTTGACAGCTGTTCATTTTGTGAAATCGTTCTGTTCGCTCAAGTGAACAGTGCATGCAAGCACAAGCGCCAATTGATGCTACCAGTAAATGAAGCAACACGCGGGCATCAAAAAAGCAAAACATTATCGAATCTGGTTGCACATTCAGCATATGGAGCTGCTTCCACATAGACCTCCGTGGTTGTTATGGCTGAGTTAAGAGCATATTTAGTTCTCACATCCCTGTTCCTGCTTTTCAGGAACAAAGCAACACTGTTTACACAATTAGAAAACAAGAACCATAAATAAGTATATAAAAAAACAGGAAAACGTCAAGAACAATCATAAAAATGCTAGCTTCAAATCAAAAAGCCAAATTCGAAAGATGTGTCTTGACCCTCTTCCTGAATGAGAGAAGTGGAGTCCAGTCACAACCCTACTGGGGGCGCATTTTAGGGAACGCAGGCATCACAGGAGAAATACATTCCCCATGTGTCTGAGATGCAGGCCTCTTCAGAAAGGCCCTTCTCGCTGATCCGTGTGACGTAAACGCACTCCTACTGAGATAGATGCTCCCACCCCAGCTAGCCACACCTTAATCCATTTGGATCTGTAAAGGTGAAGATGAACGCCTCGCATTAAGGCCAAAAGTGACTGGAACCAGAGCAGGTGCACCGGCACTGGTTATGAACTGGGCACAGGATGACCCCCCTGTGCACTGGGCAGCAGCCCAGTTGCCATATTTTGGACCAAATGGACCTTGCAGACAGTCTGTGAAGTCAGTCCTAATCAGACCACATTGCAACAGCCTGGCTGTGGTGTTGGCATGTCCGAATTACTGCTCCCGGACAAGAGTCAGGAAAACCTGCACAATGGGCTTCTTGCAATGGCTCCCTCCTTGATTGAATGACTGATTGACTGATTGAGTCCAGTCATTCATAGATCACAATTTAACCCAACAAACGTTGGATACAAAAACCAAATATTCAATACAATGCCATTTTAATTCAGACCCTCCCACTCAGCAACAGAAGCTCATGGTGCGAATGGAGGGGCAAGGTGTACCCCTGACTCTCATATGCACATGTTCTTTCTGTGTCATCCCATCCAGAAATGAATTGTTTGCTGAGCTTAAAGGTAAGGATGAGTGAAAAAGCGACCTTCGCATTCTCCCAGATCCTGAGGGCATCAGCTTGATGCTCTTCTTAGCTTATTTACTGTGGCTGTTTGTGATGCGCATTTGATTTCCATGATGAGAAAACTATACAAAAATGCATATTATCTAGGGAAGAGCAATTTTCCCTTCAGACTAATGTGCAAAATTGTGCAATTGTGAAATGCCTGTTTGCAGAAAAAAATCGTACATTTCTCAAATGTGACTCTATGCTTGATAATTTGTGGATGTTTTTAGAGAACGCATTCTCCTCCGCAAGGCTGTGCTTAGAGTTGCAAACAAGGCTTGTCACCTGAGCTGGTCTTGTCTATTGAAGACAGTTGAACAAATTAGGGAATGCACACAAATTGGATGGGGAATCATGGATGAGACAACCATGAGCACCTGCTCAACATTTCTGAATATTTCCAACAGATATGAGCTTGCGCTTATGTTCAGGGCTTTAAAATTTAATTCTCATGCTTTCCTACTTTTGTTTCTTATTTTAGTGCTCGTAGTTGGTGCTGCAGTTGATGATAGAACTCCTTTGGAAAACACTATAAATACTCATGAAGAAATCTCATTCCAAATCCATCACCAGTGTAATTTGCACTACACAGAACCTGGGAACAATATAATTAGCAAATGCATCACAATAATTTATTTTGGGTGTAAAAGGCTGAACAGTCATGGTCTTCTAACAAGATGGGGGAAAGTGGAGCTATGAGCCAAGCATAAATTTCTTTCCAGCTCTATCAATTCATTTATTTTAACTGTGGTCCACATTTATCCACCCAAGCAATGTGAATGCACCACCAAGAAAGCTATTGAATATTGAGCGTTTTTGATTCAGTGCAAAATGTAAAGGCCAAGGCAGAGCTATGCGAATCTCTCCACATTTACATTATTATGATTAACACTCTTCCAAACAGAAAAGCACCCAGCAATATTAATTACAGAAACAGTGAGATTCAAACAGTCATAAGTCATTAGTCAGCATAATGTAAACTCCCTGAAACCTTATCAAGAACTAATTTTGCATGACTTCAGAAGTTTTTCTCCCCTGTTATACAGTTCTGCCTCGTTTATACGGCATCTGTTTACGTAATGGTAGGAACAGACCACATTAGATTGAGAAGAATTAAATAAATACATACAAAAATAAATACATAAACCAGCTGTTAAAATGTGCAACTGTTCTTAAGAGTTACTTTTCCATAAGGGGTGTAATGATAGCATAGTTCGGCCCAATGCAGACAACCTGTTTCACAAGGGGTAAGGTTTTCTGAACTGGCTTGAAAGCAAAGTGTGGCCCTGTATTTTAATAGGTGGTAAAGGCTGGGAATGTCATCAAATGGCAAACCTTTGCATATTAATCACTTGGCAGATGTTCATTGTAACCCAAGACTGGGTAGCGATGCCCCCTTTTACAAAGGGCCAAGTTTTCTGAAGGCTTGCACTGTTTAAAGATCTTAAGAAGGGAGAACCGGGGGCCATATAGTTGTCCACCCACCGTTAGCAGAAGGAAGAGAGACAGTGCATGTGGGTAGTTTTCCCCTCTGGGATTAAATGTAGTTCTATGGAATTATGGCACTCATTTTGTATATCAGACCTTTTTCAAAAGCCATCCCATGTAGAATACGCTTGTTGTGTATGCTTACATGTCCCTTCATGTAAAAACCCTGAAAGAGACGGTTCCATGCCTATAGGAAAAGGGCAAACTATCTCCCTGACCTAGTTTTCTGTGTGCCAGGAACTCTATTTGAGTTCCCTGAAGTGGCACAACCCAGAAGCCAGGTTTACTACTGGAGCCAAGAAAGACCAGGCTTGATTGTGGCTGGATTAAGGGCCAGGCACTGCAAACTGCATTCATTTAATTAATTTATTTATGGCCCACTTTTGTTGCCCAAAATTGGTGATGAAGGCAGCTGATAATACAATACTGATTAAAAACAAAATCTTAATTAAAAGGACACAGAACAAGAGATCCATTAATTTTTAATTAAAACACATCAAGAAAGGAAGCAGACTGCACCCACCCAATTAAAAACCCTGCTCAGCAAGAGGCCAGCTGGAATTGCAGAGGCCTGCCTACTTTCTATTTGACTGTCAACAGAAGGACAACCAAGTGGGGGATTCCAGTACATGGGGGGCAAACATGAAACGTCCTCCCTTAAAGCTCAAAAAATGATATATTATTAATAATAATGATAATAATCATTTGCATGCCTTTATTAGGAAAGGAAAAGGCCTTCTTGCAATGTAGCCTCATAAGATTTCACAGTGTGGACAGATAGTGGGCTCTGCCTCTAGAACAGATGCAGCTATAATTGCTCTGCCTGTCTGTCGGTCTGTCTCTGTGTGTTCATTTCTTTTTGGTGCTGCGGCTGTGATGAATCTAATGTGTGTCTCCCCTCCGAAGATAAGCTTGGAGTCAGAAGCAGCGGTGCCTTTCCCCAAAGGCACACAGTTTTGAGCACGCTATAATCTTCCATGTTCATCTATCCAAGCCCAGCGTCTAAAATACAGAGCTCAAAAATACATAAGCTATCTTTTTATTTCTACTTTTTAAAGCACCAAACAAACAAAGCGGGACAATTATCACTTTATTGTTAGCAGATGGGGAGAACAGGAAGATGCAAAATAGCCTCCAGGAACAGAGTGCGGCAGTAGCAGAATCAGTAACAAAGCGCTGTGCAAAGGGCTGATTTGTACCAGAAGGACGTGATGTAGCACATTGTCACAGTTTAGAAAATGGACGGTGCAGCTCACACTTTGGCCACAAGCCATCTTGGGACATCTGAGCAATACAGGAGCTCCTTTTAAGCAACGTGGGAGTTATAGTAGCTTGTCTCAAAAGTAAGGATGTTTGGAGACCAAGGTCAAGAATATCCACACGACGGTATTCCTGATGACTGCATATGGGTGTGAATGCTGGGCAGGAGGAACACTGGTGCTGGAGGAGAGCTCTGCCGAAACCCAGGACTGGCAGAAAGACAAACAAGGGGGTCTCCGAACCAATCAGGTCAGAACTTGACCTGGCAGCGAAGATGAGGAATGTGAAGCTGTCATATTTTGGGCACATCGTGAAAAGCCGGACTCCCTGGAGAAGATAATCCTGCTAGGGAAAGTCAAAGGCAGGAGAAGAGAAGGAAGACCAGCTGTGAGATGGATGGACTCTGCAAAGGAAGCCACAGCCTTGAACTTACAGGCGCTGAGCAGGGACATCGTGGAAGGCTTTCGTTCAAAGGGCCACCCTACGCCAGAGGCGACTTAATGGCAGATGGCAACAACAATTGGCTTAACAGGCTGTGGTATGTTATACCATGTGCTTCCTGCAGCAGTTGGGATGGGCTTGGTGCAGATCCAATGCTCAGATCTGTTCCGATGTTCTGGCTAAGGAGAAGGGGGCATGTGGCATCTGGTGGCATTCCAGGCATGGTCTGGGCACCAT